CATTAGAATGTTTTCATCTTGAGATGTTGAATATCCAAAAAGCGATAGGTGTCACAAGGAAAGCTGAGGACATCAATCGTCAAAAAAATATCTATTAATGATATAGCGCAAGTCTTAAGTATAATGAAATCAACAAATTTTTGTAAAACTCTTTCATTACTTTATGGTATTCTGCTACATCAAACTAATAGTAATAATCAAACTATTACTGGGAATAATAATAATAAAGTCACTTTACATGTAAAAACAACTATTATTGTAACTAATTCCATAATATTACTGAATAGAATAGCTATGCTAGATCTTGATTCATTTCAAGTAAGTGAATTCAAATGGTTTTTAGAAAACACATCGCTTATATTAGTGCAAGTAGGTTTTTCTTTTATATTCTTGAAGAAGCATGTCAATATCAATCAAAAATATTTCAACAAGTATCAATATTTATTTTATTAAAATGTAAATCATAAATAATCGATGATTAAATTTTATAAGTGAACATTTTTGTGTACTTAAAAAGTGAGTACACTCTAGAATCGGTCAGTGTATCTGATCGGCCGGCCGACCGTTTACACGATAACTTTTGAAAAAAGAGTCTGATCGCGATAAAATTTTCTATACAGTTTAGTCTCAACAATATCTCGGTCAAGTTCGAAGATGAGAATGATTGGTCGAATCATTGCCGAGTTATTGGAAAAATAGTCATTATTCCCTATGCTTTCCTATGTGAAGATCGACCTATCTCCGCTTTCGTAAGAAACTTTTCCTCTCATAGTCAAATAAAACATAAAGAAACAAGAAGGTTAGCTCACCTAGTGCAAAGATAATTAAACGAAAAATGGTTGCTTTCATCCATGCTCTAATTGATCCACAATTAGAGTCCTATCTTCCGTTTACAGAGATGATACTTCGAGGTTTTCTGTAGCGGAGAACTCGAATCTGTACTCTACTTGCCTCGAAATACCATTGGTTGAGCAATGACTGATAGAAACCAAGTTGTAGGAAAATGGCGGCAATAAAATAACGGAACAACAATGTAACGATGAATTAAAAAAAGAATCGATAGCTCTATTAACAAATCTTATTATTTATTTGGATATTTCAGATAAAACTTTTGCAATCACAATATTCTTATATACATCATTTCACATCGATATATAAGAGGTTAAATTAATCAACAATATATGCGATGACTGATAAATTTGTATATAATATTGGCCCGTTAAGCCGAATATCATATGATGAGCTAGAGTATATAAATAAAAATACTATACTTGTTCATCATCTTTGATTATTCAATAAATAATTAATTCTATTGCAAATTATTATGTTCGTATAATCATCTAATGATTATCCCCGTTTGATGAATACTACTGATATCTTATCCTAAATAATGTCGATGGATATTGAGTACAATAGCAAGCTAAAATACAAATAAGTTTTCTTATTGAATGAAGACAATTCATTTTTCCATGAAAAACAAATTGAATAAAAGCAAAGTAAAACAAAGCAACGGTAGTAATATTGATTGCTTAATTTTATGCTTGACAAAAGCAAGAGAAAACATACAACATTGAAAATTGACATTATTTTTAATGAGTTTAATAAGAAGCATTGTTCATATCATAGATGGCTCATTCAAGTTGAAGACGACGGATGTACGCGTTGCAACAAACATGAACAACGCTTGACCATGACTCGGTAAAGACACAATAGATGCCATACAAAAATATGTAGACCTACAGTTAATCCACCATACAATCCAAGCAGCGTTGTGAATATGTAAACAACACCATTTTGTTCAATGTAACGATATTGACATTTTGATGGAGCACATATTTGAAAATATGAAGAATAATTCGCTGATAAATCGAATGATACTATGGAATTCTCATCTAGAATCGATCCAATTGGAGTTGTTGGTGGGAACTGTGTTGCACTAAGATTAAATGTAGTAAATGAAGTGTTAAGCAGTTCGTTTAGTTGATTGACGCAAACATCATCATAGAAACATTCAAATGTTGACTGTGAAAGACCATCCATGATTGAGCATCCAACAACAATGCCTAAATAAATGAAATATCAATAATATGCAATTAGTTCTTCAACTATCATCTTTTAATTATAGGCCTTTTTGAAAATCTTAATAAGTCAAAGTACAATTACGAAAGCATATGAGAAAGCTTGATTAAAGAGTTTACCTGGAAGTACATGTGGATCACCGATCGAATCATAATATATAGGTATCTTTGTACAGTTGGATTTCCCACTTGGACAAAAGCAAGTAGCATTGTTCAACGAAACTGGACTGTTACGAAGAATATATTTTTCATCTAAGCTCGAAAATTCTGTTTTCCAGCTTGTCATATATCGAGTATGAAATTGATTTGCTTGAAGTATATCAGAAATGAATTTATAAGTATCAAATGATGAGACCAACGAATTACTAAATATTATCGTTGTAAAAGCATTAAACTGTACCTGAAATGTTTGTAAGGTCATTGCTTCGACTGATATCAATCTTGCGTCAGTAAAGGTGTTTACTACAAAGTATAAACTACTCATTTTGGCAACATATCGGAAATATAGCATAAGAAATTGTGATTTGATGAGATTCCAACTAGATATTTTCCAGGGTATGTCTGTTGGTAACAGTGGCATCAGCAAATCTCGTTGGGTCATCGCCTGGTTGTAGCTTTCATGTAATGTGGATGAGATCGTTGAAAAATTTACATAAGAAATAGCTATATTTGTACAAGGACAAGATAAACTATCAGAATATTGACTGTGAAGATATGAAAAGTAAGTTTCGTTTGGTGAATCTACGCTTATGAATACTGTTCGATGCTGAAATCGCACGAAAACTGAGACAATCACAAAAGATAGAACAAGTAGAACAATATAGATTCTTGTTGCTATATGTTGATATTCCACTTGTGTTTTTCCTCGGTACACATTCATGAGATAAAGTTTATCTCGACTATAGATAAAAATCATTCTCCAACGTAAAGGAACATCTGAAATAATTCAATATAACTAAATAATAGATGAAAAAAATCTCTCACCTCGTGTTTGCTGATAGCAGAAACCATGGAGCAAATGGATAATTTTAATCAATGATGGAACTAAGATACGAAGTAGAATAGTTAGTCCACCAATCAGACCAATAATTAAGTTAATACGAGCAATAGCATGTAATTCCTGATCTATTGTATAAGTACATATCTCTGGTTGACATTCAGCATAGTACAATGTATAATTTGCTGTATAAATCAATTGATCAACAAGAGAACTAATCATTAAACTTTGTAATGGATCTTGAGGCTGAAAATTGATTAAAGTGTTTGGATCAAGCGCTGTTATATTACTTAAATCTATTGATAAATAGATATTTCTATTACCACAAAGACGCTGATCAATTAGCATCTGAACACAAGGTTCATCGTAAAAACATTCTAGTGTGGAGATAGTAAAATCTACAAGATAACAGCCAATATATAGACCAGAAACAATTGAAGGTCGCGAATTCGCTTGAAGACAAATCTCTGTATCGCTATAGATTAACAATTGTCTTAGACAAAAATAGATTTCTTTACAATTGCATGACAGCTGACCATTGGGATCGTCGTAACCTGACGCATACTCTAGAATCCATGTGTTATTTATCTGGCTGGAGACCACAGAAGGTTCAACAAAATCGAGTGAAATTGATCCACTCTGTCGAATACTTTCTTCCATTGAATAAAATTTAGATAGATATATAGTGTCAATCTAGATAAAAAAAAATATAATAATATATTTTGCATTTAGTGACACTAGAATAAAGTTGTTTTGCTTTTTCAGATTAATCTACTTATGTTTTTCCTCTCATCTGTAGAAGATCAATATTATCATAGATATTCTTCGTAAGGTAGGAAAGAGTTGCGTACAGTTCGACAAAAATAATTCCAATTTAGATGCTCAAAAGTATAAGATAAGATTTTTTTTTAAGGTCTCTTTCTTCATCATATTCTACCTGGTATTGAAAAGAAGCTTTCCAATCTTGAATTGTTTCATTAAATTGTAGTGGAGTGATAAGTTGAGAAGAGAAAAAATGTTTTGCTTGAAACGAATGTACTATGTTAGCGAGACTTATATTGACTGTGTCGCATAATATTTTAACATAATTAAAAAATTTCCATCCATTCTTACGAAAATCATTGAAATCAAATGATGGAGTAGGATCGATGCTACCATTGAGAAATTTCATTGTCCAATATTGTAACCAACGATCATCACGAACAAAATTACTTGTACAAAATGGATGAATTTTTACTTCAATGGATATGAATTTCGAACGTGGTATTGATGAATTACGACATGGACATGATAGAATTGATGAATACATGTCATGAAGATGTTCAAATTGATCGATACTTGGATTTTTGACAATGATTTGTTGTGAACTAACTATTGATGTAGAGTAAATGGTCAAAATGCAAATACCAAACATCAGCAATATGATATAGACACGTGTAGAATAAACACCATGTTGAACATTGGTGAAAGTTTTCTTGAATAAATTCAATGTGATAATTTTGTGACGAGTTTGCTTAAGAATATTCCATGTACCATCTTGCAAATCTATGAAAACAAAAAGTACAAGAAGAAGAAGAAAAATCTATATATTAGCGTAAAGAGTGACTTTACTTCTTTTTGGTTCATATCTTTCTTCAGTTTCTTGCACTGAAACCCGTCGACAACATAAATATAAAATGAATTTGACAAATAATGGAGATACTATATGTAATGTCACACGAATTCCACCAAAGACACTAACTATGGTTGTAATCATGTAAATGAGAAAAAACCGTTGTACATATGAATATGAACAGATTTTAGGTGCACAAGTTTGAAAATAAGTAGCAAAATCAATAGAGTTCTCCCAAGACTCAATCATTAGATTATCAAAAAGAACAGCAATTGTTGTTGTTGGACTGAATCGTGAAAAATAGTTTGATATATTTAGAGGTGAGACAGTGCGAAGAGCACCAGTCAACGAAATCACAATATCTAAACATGTTTGGTTGTAAAAGCATTCCAATGTTGATTGAAACAATGCATTTTGTGGTACACATCCAACTTGAAATCCTGGTATCATGAATAGAGGTGATGCATCAAATGAAAACACTTCATTTGGAATGATAGATCGCGATTGATTATAAATGCCAGCAGGATAAGTACAATTATTTGTACGATCACATTGACATGTTTCACTTAATATCGATGACGATTGAGTTGTATCGACTTGTTGTGGATAAATGGCAGGAAAAGTTACAAAATTATTGCTATCGAGAACACCTCTCGTATAGAAATTTGTTCTTAATGCAGATATAAAACGATGTTCTGCAAGAAGAGATAATATATAATGAATGTATGAAAGGTAATTGTCAAGGGTTTTTTTCTGGAATTGTTCAATAGACGTGCCTATATATGTGGTGATTACATCACGTGATAATGCATTTGATGATAATATTGTCGTTGCATCAAATTCTTTAAGAGCATCGATTACAGCTTGACGTGATATTCGACAGAGAATAGATAAAATCTGAAATTGTGCAGAAGCCATCAAACGAAAATCAAGAGGATAGTAATTGCTTGTATTGACATTGAACAATGAAGAAAACCATTTTTCACTGATAAAATCACTTGAGCATACTTGATGAAATCGAGCATTCAATGACACAATTTGTGAATAAAGAATCGATGTTTGAGAACAGCGGCACGCAATTGTAGTTGTGTAACGGTTGACGATATTTTCGAAATCATTGACAGATGGTGAAGAAACAGTGATTAAACGTGTTTGAGGAATAATACCAGTAAATAATAGTATAATTACGAGAGCGATCGAAAGTGAAATAATCAGAACACGTGTAGATAAGAGTTGCGTATTCAGAGCCAACGTATCATCATCATCGTATAGGTTCAGATTCCTGATGAAATGTATAAATTTATTTTTGAGTTGGACATGAGGACTAGCTTGAGTAATCATTGATCTAGAAAAGTATTTATTAACTGCACTATGCAAATCTTAAATATATATTGATCGATTGAAAGGTTAAATGTATAATTCTACTACTCTAATGATCTATGAATCTATAGATAAAATCAACGTTAATGAATAGTTGATTTCTTTTTGCTTCTTTAGAAAAGCAACAAGTCATTAGAATTGTTGCCTTTAAAAGTTATTCATTGTATATTCTTCTTCTTTTTATCTCGTCTATTCTCCAAATGACTTCTTCTAAATATCAACTTCAATAATGTATACCTCTTTTTCTTTTTCTCTTTTATAACTGGTGAAAAAAGCTTGTTTTAATATTGTTTTAGATATAACTAAAATAATGTAATAGCTCGAGAAACATCATCATTGTGAGAAATACGCTTCTAGTTTGTGATATGCTTTCATTGTTTTAATTTCGAACGTTTGTTTGAACGATATTTTCTTACTCGCTTTCCAGCTGTGCTTTAATTGCTCTTAGATAATTACTTTAAATTTTTTTTGTTATTCAGAATGACTTTATTCGTCAAATATTTTTATACTTCTCAAAAAAGTATTTTACTTTATTTTTCTTTACTAATAAAGATGTTGTGCTATTTTTTAATAGAATCCGAAATAGCTGATTGGAAAATACTTATATTTCTATGTGAATGAATGCATTTTATTTTTAGTGAAAGACAATTCTATTCTCGTGTAATGCTGATAAGTTAATGACTTACTTTGTGACACTGTGGTCCATAAATTGTTGACGAAAAATTCTTATTAAATCTTTCATTTACAATATTGTTTTATTATATATCGAAAATCATTGACATGAACAATTATATTTCAGTTAAGAAAAAGCCGATTATTATTTAGTTTTAATTGCATGTCTTTCTTCATTACTCATAAATAACAAATCTTCTTTTTAAACTACTACCATCAACTGATTGAACTTTTTTCTTTCATTCGAAAAGATTAATTAATCATCGCAGCATATTCATTTATTTTGTTACAGCTAGCATAATTTTCTCGTTTTTCAATTCGTGAGAATCTATTGGTGTGCCTGGTTGGAAAACAGCGCATAGATTGCCGTTGAACTTTTTAAACAAAATATCACAAAATCATGTATGTAAGGATGTGAATAAAAAGTAAAGAAAATTCAAGTATGAATGCATTTCAATTTGAAATTAAAATTTAATTCATAGTAACAATAAGAAAGTAATTCCAAAAATGGAATAGCTTTTTTTTCCTCTTTATTATTTTTTTTCCATATGAAGATATAGTTTAATAAAGTATGAACAATCCCAAATTTTTATGCGAAACAAAAGCAGTGTATCGCTAAATAATTTTAATTTTTTTCATTCTTTCTTTATTACCCAAGAAGTTCGGAAATAGTTATGTTCGTTTCATCATGAAAAATGTCATTTTTTTCATTTTTTAATTCCCGGAATGTTCAACATAAGAAGGTGCGGTTTAACTGAAAAGTATTTTGACCAATGTTGAAAGGACACCAACTTTCAATAGGTTCATACTTTAATTTAAAAGTCTACATTATCTTACTGCTCATTAAGAAAGTAAAAAATTTGATTATTTCTGGTATTCTCTCTTATTGGATATGAATGTGGATGTCTCAGTGTGCATGTATAGTTAGATCTTGATTCAGATTTTTAGTTATATTCACATACCTATGACGAATTTTTCTACTACCAATATCACAAACGCTGTCAATTTATTGCATAAAGTTGTGTCTTTGTAGAAATTCTGATTAGTTAGTTCAATCATACTATGATTATTCGATAATAGTAATGTTATTGGTATCAAATGTTGATGAGAAATGATTTAGTCGATGGTCATATTTACTAATACTTTTACAAATTATTTCCTTTGAACAAACGCAATATGATAATACTTGTCTAAAGATAATGGATGATCTATCTCATAGTAATGTATTTGTCAATGTCGAAAAATTTCAAAAATAGAATCAGTGCTTTTTCATAATTATCCTGTTCAATTTAATTCTCATTAAATTATTAGATGTAAATACAGGAAGTTTTTGTTTATAAAAAACACAAATCGACACTTTTCACGATCGAGATATATTTATATATAAGGTAGATAATTAATTGTAGACTTTCAGTAGTCGTATTATTATTATTATGATAAAGCTTTTTTTTCCGAGAATTCCTTTTGATCTTAAGCATTTCATTGTCTAATCAAACTCTTTATTTTTCAGATTCACGAAGTTCTTGAGTATGTTGAACTCTTGTCCAAGTATTTGTAAGGATGATTACAAATGAAATATTTTAAAGAAAATATTACAATTTACTGAAAATTAACAGCAAAAGTTCATTTTCATTGGATCTAGTTATCTTTTACAACTATGAAAACGATATTTACAATACAAGAAACTAATCCTTCTAACAAAGAAATAGGGCATTCTATTTTCTCGAGATTGTAGCTCGAAAACTCGCATAGAGCCTAGTTTGTCATCATCATATCATATAATCGAATGTATAGTATCTTGTATATAATCTTCTATTTATTTAATGAATGGATTGTAGAAGATGTTCAAGTCGATCAAATTTTTCTGAAATTCCATAGAATGTCTGTTTATGAATTCTTTTTGCCGTCGATTTTGATTTAAGAACGAGAGTTGAATAGTGAATGAGAAATTGTATTGAAGACTTTTATTTATTGACATTGAGATTTTTCATGCCATTAAAAAGAAGACACATCATCATATGAGTAACAGTGACTTTTCATTTGCTTTAAAGAACAAATATATGTAAGAAGATCATTGAATAAAATTGAGACTAATTTTTTCAAAGAAATACATAGAATGTCCGAATCTTCATTGAGCAAACAAAAAACTAATCTTATCATCATAAAAAGTTCGGACAAACTGTATAATATAACATATGTAGAAAAAGTATCACAACGACTACTCTAGCATTCTTATCATGTCTTAGTAATTACGTGAAGCCTTCCGAGATTTCTTTTCTATTATTATCAAATCAACGAAATGAAGTTTGTCGAGTTCTGGTCATTGTTGACTAAAACTTGTTTTTTACACCAATGTGTATTCAAAATTTAACAGTCTTCATAAGATATGTTCTTTTCTAAGTTGTTTAAAAAAAAAAGGAATACGCGAAATAAATTTACAATCTCGTTCGTGTATAGATTTGACAGCTTTATAAGCTTGTATCACTTGCTATCCAAGGAATAATTATTCTTTTCGGAGTTTCCAAGAACTTTTAGAATGGATTTCTAAAGAGTCATCTGAAATGTTTCTCTGACATTTGAATTTCAGGTTTTATTTTACATTTAACAAAGAATTGAATGTTATCAGCATGATTAGTTTTATATGATAATTTTGAATGATAGTAAAATTTATTAAATCACTAATGATTTAAATCTCAAACAGTATTATCTTATGAGTAAGTCAAGTTTGTTTGCTGCGCAGCTTATCCAATAAATCATTTAATAACGAGATAGAATTTCTATTTTTATAATGAAATAAAAGTTGATAATATCTATTGTTTTTACAAAACAAAAGTTTTCTTTCATATTTAGTTCCTGTATAAGGAATATCAAGCTACTGTCCATAGTTTCATGCATGCTCTGTTTATTAGAGACATCATTATGAACGATAATGCAAAATAGAGCTTTCTTACAAGAATAAGAGATTTCTATCCATCCTTTGATTTCCGCAAAAAATCCTTTGGATTTTTACAAAATTGCACTTGATAAAAAACCGGTGATGATCATATTGCAATGTCAATACAAAGGAAAAGGTAAGTTCATTTTGAACATCCAATAAGTCAAAAAATAAAAAATAACTCACTCATTCATATATGAAATAAGGAAAAAAAATCGTTCTTTCGAGGTACTCAAAATTGGTCGTACAGAATTTTGTTTTTTTTTCAAAACAAGAGCTATACA